GTCCATGTTGTGACTAAACACACGACATAACAACAATACAATGACCGAGCAGGGCCTACCAGAAACCCGCAACTTCAGCGTTCTCTCGTTCAACGACGTCAACAGTAGATGTTTCCATTGATAACGAGCAACACGTGAAGCTATCGAATGGCTGTGAGTTATATAGTTGGTTTTGGTCTACATACAGTGTTGTAATATATATAATCGCTTTCCTCAGCTAAGCCTAGGAGTATCATCACTAGTTATACAAGTTTGTATACGAACACCTACACGAGGATTGCCGCAAACCTTCTATACCGCTTCTCACAGCAGAGATTACCACACCAATGCAGTCAAACACGACTGTCAATGAACTAACATATCATCTACTAAATACACATTTGACCTTCGGAAAAAACTCACCCCGATTCCTCAGAAGTTCCTTACAAGCCTTCTCTACACACTTGGCTATTGTGACAACACAAATCCTCAGTAGTAGTAGCAGCAGAAGGAGGTAGAAACAAACTGCTTCTCATACCGAAACAGGTAGAATGCATACATATTATAGTAACCATAGGAATTAAAGCTATAACGGTAAGAGCACAGCACCGATGACAGAATGGTGCTTTTTCTATTCAACTATGCCAAATAAAATGCGCTAAACAGTGTACCGTAACGACGTGAACACAGCTCGAAATCATCATCGTAACAGCATATACTATCCTCACAGAGGTAGAACAGCATCCTCCTCACGCCCCGTAGCTGGAGCCTCAGTAGAAGCATTCGAGCCAATTCCGCCTTCACTTACTCCCGACACGCTCTCACTAGTCTCCCCAGTCGACTCTTTATCCGAAACCGAGTGGCGATCCTCAATCATCTTTAACCCCTCCGAATTATTCTTCGACGTTTTCTCAGCCATCGGAACTTCGGGAAGGGACTTCTGATCTACTGCAGGTTCAACCGTTTGCTCGTCTTCACTCAATCCGAGCAAGTCCGCGTCTTGGACTGTCGCCGTGTCAACAGTAGGAGTGGACGATCTGAATAATATAAATAATTTTGAGAACTCTGGAAGTAACATGGGAACATACAATGGAGTTTCACCAGTTTTACGCGAAGTGGCGTAATACTCTTTGAAAAACGCGATATTCGGGATGATATGCAGTAGCCGTAAAATATGTTTTTCCCTACTGTTTTTCATATCACTAGGGTGAAACTCCAATGTAAGCACCCACAGAGTGCATATGAGCTACAGCTCAGAGGGATGTTACAATGCAACCAGTGTGGGAGGAAAATAGGCACATGGCCGACTACGTGTGTTGGTGACAATATGGAAACCTTATGAAAATGTGGATGAATTTTTGTTGGATTTTACGAGCGAAAAAATTTCGCAGAATTTCTCAACACTTCTTCAAAATTTCCATATCGTCAGCAACACACGTCGTGGGAAAAATATTCGCAAATTTTCCCCCACACTAAATACGACACTGCTTACTGTTGCATCCCCTTTGATATGACGTTCGAAGGAGTAGCCACTGATAACAACGAAGTCGCGTTGCCTGCTGTGGCTAGGCTGTCTCGAACCATGATACCTATTATATTCATATCTCACTAGTCCCTATGAAATCTGCATACGACTTCGATAAACAAGAAGTCATTCATGAATCCATAGTCTTCCCAAGGACAAATCATTATGAATTTTCCACACGGCTAAGAACATTTCCCCCTTATTATCACACCCTTGAGAGCGTTATTTCTCGAAACTGGATGAGCCTACCTGCATCCTTGCCATACCGTCTAGCTGCCGCTTTAGAGACCTCGTCAGCAGCAACACCC